TGTTGGCTTGCCTTAGAGAAATCAGAAGCAACACATGAAACTCAGAGCTAGAGAGCAAGGGGAGGAACCACTGAAAATCATGGGTCATATCTGAAAACCAGACAAGTAGATGAAGTAGAAACAAAGTGAAATGCCAGTGGTGTAAACACAGTGAATGCCCAGAAGGAACCTAAGAGATGAAGAGAGTCAGAAGTGAGTGAGGCCAGCAGTATTCATGAGCTGTACTCATGGAGGGAGGAGGAGACAGGCTGTTGCTGGATAGACTTTAAAAGAGTGCTCTGCTTCCATTGCCCAGCAAAAGCTCTAAAATAAATCCAGCATTCCTCTTTCTGCATAAATTCCACAGCCCTTACAGCAACACAACCTCACCTCAGCACTGCTTAAGGGCTGACATGTCTGAAGAAGTGAGGGGGGAGGTGCAGAGTCCTTAGCCCAGGCACAGTAGCCTATTACCCAGAAGAAAACTGCACAGAAAGTGCATATATTCATAGTTCAGACATCTTTGTCCTTTCTACCACAGGCAGCTGGGTGTTGCCTTCTCCTCCGACAGTTTCCCTTCTGTTAGTCCTTTAGTAACAGCAACATGGAGAAAGCTAAAAATAAAGCTATATAAGCAATGTAATAGGCATGCAATTGCATGTCTCTTTTCTTTGAAAAAATGATGCTCTATTTCCTGTTCAATGGAAACTACAGTTTGATGTTACAACTATTAGCTTTTGACCGAATGCAGAAATTTGACTGAAACAATGACATTTCCCCCTGTATTTACTATTACCATATGTCACTGATTATATATTTAAGTTGCAAAAATGAATTAAATTTCATGGCTTCCTCAAGTTAGACTGTCTTGGAATGGACTGTCTTTTGTTATTAACCAAAATGCTTGGAAAACAGTTTAAATCAAAACAGCAGACTTTTGGTATCATTTCAGGAGAAAATTGGTTATCACAAACCAAGTGCTTAACACATGATCATCCAGAAGGCTGGGTAAAGCTTTCCAAAGCTGCAGCAACCATGGCCAGGATAGAGAAAAAGGGTTAATTGAACACTGCAGACTCAGAGATGGAAAAAAAGAGAAAAAGAGGGAGAAGAAAAAAAAAAAAAAAAAGACACTGTTTGAAGCTCCCTTGCCTGGGGTCTTATTCCTTCTGCCTCAGAAGTTATCATGTATCCCACATTACAGTGCTTGTTTGACTTCCTTACGGAAAGTATCTTCTCTAAGCTGGCTACAGAGCATTAGTGACAATCACACTGCACATATGTTCCAGGAGAAGCCAGCCTTGTCCTTGCGAGATTTCTTCCTGCTTTCTGAGGAAAAAAAATTCATTTTTGTTTGTTTGTTTGTTTTTACTCCGTTTCCCATCGTGTTTTGGACTGCTAACATTTCTATCCCCACTAGCAGTCTCCAGTGGCTCCTGGCTCTTTTCGAAAGGACCAGCAGACAGCAAAGCCCCTGGGCTCCCATCAACCAGGAAGGAAGCGAATTGCAACCCACAGCCTCTTGGATTCTGACTTCAGACCTTAAAGTCAAGGTGGTGTAAGGAGACTTTAGTAAACTTCTCCTGTCCATGCTTCCTTCTTCCTCCAGGTCCTGTCTAGACCTGCACTGCTGGAAGAGGACAGCAGTGACTAGAGAAGCCACCTCTGGCAGGGGTTGTGCATGTTGCAGGCTATAACATACAAGCTGCAGACGGAGCTCAGATGTATGTAAAGCAGAGCCTGAGCAGTGCTGGTGAGCGGGAATAAGGTTGTCATTCCTAACTTAAGACTTAAGGAAGAACAGTTAAGAGAAGTAGGGTTCAGCATAAGAAAAGGACAGCTATGCTGTGCTTGCTGAAGGACTCACCAGGCAGGATACAGACAGGACAGGCCTCAGTGAGAACTTTGAAAATTCATGTCATACTTTGCCAAAGACTCAATCAATTGAGCATGTGCTAAAGCTTAGTTTATTTTGTCTTATTTGGAGCTTTGGAAGATATTTCCTATCTTGACTCATTGAACACGCTCCAACCACACACCTGCAACTTCTGGAGTGCATCCTCTCAGTGAGAGGCTGGCTAGCAAGTCATCACTTATGCAGGGCAAATCCTACTGAAAGCACATCAGACCACAGCTTTCACACCAGTTTACTTTTACATGTAGCACATGTAAGCTAACATCTGGCAAGAACACAACTATGTCCTGATCGAGATGGAGCTCATAGCAACAGATGGTGTTTGATACTGCAGGACCAGAGTGGTTCTATCCCTAACTGAGCATTATTCCTCTTTTGCATTTTTACACCCTCTGTCCACATCTTTTTCAGAGTGGATCTATTGTCACTATGGCTTTGCGGTCCCCTCAAGAACATACACCACACTCAACATTGCAGGTCACTGCCTAGCTCTAACACCCAGGTGATTTTGCTACCACTGAGGCACGTCAGTGCATGAAGCAGGGTGCTGATGCAAACATTACATTGTTCATCAGTATAACATGAGGTTAGCAATATCCTGAACCAGAGAGCGCCACCAGTGCAGGAGGAAACTTTCTCTCCAGGCATACAGTAGCTCTGCCCGCAGGCACACAGGCCGCACCAGTAGTTAGCAATCTAGCAAGCAACATCTGCTGCCTATTTGGGGGTAACGATGGAAAAGCCAGCACAGAGCAGCCTTCAGTGCCACCTCTTCAAGACAGAGTTTCATCCTAAAGGGAAAAGCATTCAGAAGAGAAAAACAAGAAACAAAACGAATGTTACTGTGATTATGGTAGATACAAGATGTGACCAACCACTTCTGCAGCTTTACAGTTACTGTCCGAGATTTTTTTTTTTTTTTTGCCAGAGCTTTATTTTGCCAGTGGAAGTGCGGAGAGAGATTGCCACCTTGTGGTCCCTCCTCCTGCACTGCCATGTTTTTTTCCCACTTGTACTAGCCCAGACCAGTGGTTTCCAAAGTGCTGTCCAAGGACTTCTAGGGACAAAGGTACTATGGACAAGAATACTTTCCAAGTACTTAATTAACTAAAAAAACAAGCCTGTAATTTTCAGTCTTAAGGTCCTATACTCAGTAATTTATCAGCAGAAAACCTTCCAGGAACCTAACCTGCAAGTTAATAAATATTATAAAATTAATATGTATGGCACAGGTACACCGTTTCCAAACAGCAATACAATTCTGCTATGGCAGTGATGCACAAAAATAGACTGTCTTTACAATATTCTCAGCACCAAGAAATCTGCTAGAAATTCAGGCCTGATGACAGCCTGCTGTTGCTAAACATTTGGGATGATCTCAGACAATAGTTCCCACAAGGTCCTACTAAGGAAGGTGCAGCTATGTCCTCATCCTCACCACCTTGCAGCTAGGAAGGCAGGAGCAGACTGTGCTGGTCCCTAGTCCCTCTGGGTACTGCATAGGGAAGCTTGTGAGATCTGTTCCTCAGGTAGTATAAGTTGGGGTAAGGCCTGCAAAAGTAGGTTACCAGTTGGCTCCTCCATAAATCGAGCCCAGGTAGAGCACTAGGCAGTACCAGTGGAACGAAGGGGGAGTTAGAAAGTGGAATATCAGCAACAGCTTGTGAAGCAGCACACAGCCCCTGTGAACACCCAGTGAATTTATCCCAGAGAGAGATTCTCTCCTAACAGGGCAAGGAGCACATATCTCCCTGATAGCTTTTCATGCCGTCTGCTTGCTGACATACTGACACAGAAAGTGACCTATTTTCATGGGTGAAATAATGAGTGAATAATTAGAATTTTTTGAGCACTTTCTTTTCCTCCATGACATTTTCTGACTACCTTCCTTACTTGGCCGCTACTGAGCCTGTTACAGTTGTAAATAACTGACTCTTTTCCAGTTCCCCGGCCTCGTTTCAAGGTTGTCGGGGATGATGTTGGTTCAGGGAAGACACAAAAGTTTCAAGAGTCCCTAAGTGCATTCTTCAGCATATACTTCTGAAGCTGATAAACCCTGGCAACATTCCCCATCAGGTCCAGACATGACAATAAATGTAGTTACAGTGTGATACATTTGTTTCCAATCAAAACCGCAAATCTAAAGACTATCCGCCCCCATTAAAGGAAAACAAACAAACAAACAAACAAACCAAACCAACAAACAAAACACTCCCACGGGAAGAAGGTATATGAATTTGAGCTGAAAAGCTTAATAGTTGGGCCTCGGCAGATAACAGAGGGAAGCTGACTGCAAATCCCAGCTCTAGATACTGCTGACAGAAGTCCTTCAGCAACCCCCGATCTCACAGTGCAAAGAGGAAAGTCCCGGCACCGCAAACCGTAGCCAGTGTACCCAGCATCACACCGGGAGGCCGCCCCGTATCCCCGGGAATGGGCTCTGGGGCAGCCCCGTCAGCGTCGCACCAGATGCGGAGGTGCCGCCCGGGATGCTCCCGCACGGCCCGTGCGGGCCGGGTGGGCGGACGAGCCGCTCGGTGCTCCGCGCGGTGTCCCCGTGGGCAGCCCCGCTCCGCCGGCCCCTCCCGCCGGGGGCCACGAGCCGGCTCCGGTCGCACGTGGCGCGGCAGCTGCCCGCCCCCCGGCCCACGTGTGCCGCCGCCGCGCCGTGCGGAGCCGGCTCCCCGCTGCAGTCCCGGGGCGGCGGGCGGGCGCTGCGCTGCCGGCACAGCGGTATGGCGGCGGGCCCGGGGCGCGGCGGCGGCAGCGGCGGCTGGGGCCGGAGCCGGAGCGCCGTCCTGCTACTCTTCTTCTCGCTGTCGCCGCGGCCGCCGGCCGGGGCCGCCTGGCTGCTGGGGCTGCGGCCCGAGGACACGACGCCGGGCCGGGTGTCCCTGGAAGGCGGCGCGGTGCAGGCGGCGGAGGGCAGCCGCTTCCTGCTGCGCCTCTACTTCCAGCCGCCGCCCGAGGGCAACGGCAGCCGCGGGCCGGCGGGGGAGCGGGAGCCGCGGCTGGTGTTCATCGAAGAGGCGGCGGCGGGGAGCACGGCGGCGCGGGGCCCGGCGGAGCGGTGCCGGGAGCGCAGCGCCTGGGCCTCGGACGTGGAGGTGGTGGGGCCGCTGCGCTCGGGGGGTGCGGCGGGATCGGCGCTGGCCGAGGTGCGGGTGCGGGAGCCGCGCAAGGGCGAAGCGCCGGCGGCGCCGGGCGGGCGGGTGTTCTCTCTGTGCGCCTGGGACGGGCGGGCCTGGGCGCACCACGGTGCGGCGGGAGGCTTCTTGCTGCGGGTACAGCCGGCTACCCCGGCGCTGGGCACCTGGCTGCTGCCGCTGCCCGAGGAGGGCTGGCTGCGGGCGCTGGGCGCCCTGCTGCTGCTGGGGCTGTCGGCGCTGTTCAGCGGGCTGCGCCTCTCGCTGCTCTCCCTGGACCCGCTGGAGCTCCGCGTCCTGCGCAACAGCGGCTCGGCCGCCGAGCGGGAGCAGGCGCGGCGGGTGCAGGCGGTGCGAGGCGGCGGCGGCACCTACCTGCTGTGCACTCTGCTGCTGGGGCAGGCGGGGGCCAACGCGGCGCTGGCCGGCTGGCTCTGCGCCTCGCTGCCCGGCGGCGGGCCGGCGGTGGCGGCCGGCGGGCCCCGGGGAGCGCCCTGGCTGCCGGTGGTGCTGTGCGCCGCCGCCGTGTTCCTGGGCGGCGAGGTGTTGCCCTACTCGGTCTGCTCGCGGCACGGGCTGGCCATCGCCTCCCGCACCCTCTGCCTCACCCGGCTGCTGATGCTGGCCGCCTTCCCCCTCTGCTACCCGCTCAGCCGGTTGCTGGACTGGGCGCTGCGACAGGAGCTCAGCGTCTTCTCTACGCGGGAGCGGCTGCTGGAGACGTTGCGCGCCGCTGGCCCCCACGGCGACCTGGTGCGAGAGGAGTTGGCCATGGTGCAGGGCGCGCTGGAGTTGCGCACCAAGGTGGTGGAGGATGTGCTGACGCCGCTGGCGGACTGCTTCATGCTCCGGGCCGATGCCGTGCTGGACTTCGCCACCGTCTCCGAGATCCTCCGTTCTGGCTACACCCGCATCCCGGTCTATGAGGGTGACCGGCGCGACAACATTGTCGACCTGCTCTTTGTCAAGGACCTGGCCTTTGTCGACCCCGATGACTGCACTCCCCTGCAGACTGTCACCCGCTTCTACCGCCGCCCACTGCACTGTGTCTTCAATGACACACGCCTCGACACACTACTTGAGGAGTTCAAGAAGGGTGAGGCCGCCGGGCCACCACCCCTCGGGCTCCCCCTGCACCCCTCTGCACCCCCAATGATTTCCAGGTCAGCAGCCCCCGTGGGCAGCCCTGCATGGCCTCCAGGCAGGATGCTGCAGGTACCAGGGATGCTGGGGGGAGTTGGGCCCTGCATGCACTGGTGTGGCAATGACCCTGCTGTCACCTGGTGGAAGATCCTCAGGTGAACTGAGGGCCTGCAGTGTTGTACCTGTGATGTTATGGAACCTTCAGCCTCACATATTGCTGGCTCAGCAGGTGAGCCTGTCCCACAGGGCTCATATCTCTGTAGGAGTCTGGCAGCATGGGCATGGTGCCTGCCTTGCACCCTTGCCCAGGCAAGACAGCATTCACCGCGCTGTTCTGCGCGGAGGAGTTTATGACAGGAAATCGCATCTCATTACTTTGCTTTCACATTTTCAGCTTAGCAGTGAGAAGCTGGTCTAAAAAGTGTTTCTGTGTAAGTGGTTTAAAGGCAGAAGAAAAGCCTAAGCCCTTAGAAGGAGATGTGCTTTTTTTTTTTTTTTTGCAGCTGTGACAGCATTCATAATGCAGCAGCTGCCAGCAGCCCCAGAGATGCTGAGAGCTGTATTTCATTAACCATACCTTGAGAATACGCACAGCATGTGTTTTGCCCTCCCACTGGGAATTGTGTTTTGCTGCGTGTTACTCGGTACGTCATAGTGTGGTGAGTGAGTCTTTAAGAAATGGCTGCAGCAATGACATGCTGCATTATGTAATGCGGAAGGGCAGCATTTGGCTCCTGGGCTGCCTGGGGCTGCTCTGCCGCAGGCAGAGCTGGTCATGTGAGAAAGGCCACCCTGGTCCATTCCAGATAACAGAGAAAGCCTCTCTGTGAGTCATCTCCGTGCTCTTTTTTAGAGCTGGGAGGAGGAGGGGATAGGATTTTTCTCGTGCACCAGGAAAGTGATCATCAGATACATGCAGGTCAGCATCTTCTCCGAGATGCTCAGCTGTGTCCCCACGACTGCTCAGGATCAGAGGCAGAACAGTTCTGTGTGGCAGGCACCATCTGCCCTCCCTGCCCCTCAGCAGGACTGGAGACTTCCAATGGTGCAAATCAGCAAATTCCTGGGTTTAATACAAGACTGTTAGCAAAACCGCTGGGATTGCTCCCTGAGTTCAACCTTGGTGAGCTGCAGTAATCCATGGCCACTCCTGTTCCCTTATGCCAGTTGCCTCTCCTCTTCCTAATTCCTTATGCACTTCACAGTTCCTTCTTGACTGTCTTCCTGCATGACACTACAACTGTACTAAAGTTCAGCTGTGGTCTCTGCTACCTCTCTTGTCTAGAAATGTCAGATGACTTTGGCACCTTCTCCCTTGGTCAGCCTCTCCTGCAATTTATCTGATTTACTTTGATGTACTTCCCCCTCCAAATTTGTTCTCGTACCCTGTGGATCAATAGACCTATAGAAATGGACTTGTGGTTGCATAGCTCCCTGCCTTTTGCTTGCTGTCCTCTCTGCCCTCCTTAGGCATGTTCTGTGTGTGACGCTCCCTGAGCTCACAGGTATACTAACGAGTCTTGCTATCTGCCCTACACTTTTTCATGCTAGTCTTCATCTCAGATGAAGATGATCCATCCTTTAAGTTTGCTCCATTAAACTCTTGGCATATCACTTCAGACTATTCTTTCTTTACATCTGTCTGCCACTGTGGCCTTCTCGGGTGTTTTGCTACAGCTATTTAGAGCTCTCCCTGAAAGTTTTTTCCGTTCCCACCTCACTTCTACCTGTGTTTTCTAAATTACACATCTGAAAAGCCTTGCTTTTGGTCTTAGTATATGACTCAGCATGGTGTTTAGCAACCCCAGCTCTTCCCCCATATGTTTTTCTCCAAGTGTTGATGTTCTCTTCTAATTCATCTTTCCCCTATTTGTAGGCATTTGTTCACCCCCAGCACCCTGACTTTGTAGATAGTCACCTCCCAAGAGCCCAGCACTGAACCCTCCTAAACTCTCTTTTCCCAGTTCCAAATACAGGTTCTTGTGCTGGCTCCCACACTGTGACAGGTGTTTGCTCCCAGCTGCCTTCAGCCTTATCCACTGCTGTGTCAGCCCTGTTCACTTGACCATTTAATTTCGAAAATAAAGATTTCCCATTTGTAATTAAGAGTCTTCATCACTGTCTCCTTTTCTGTGTCCGCTTGAATTATGGTGAAGTATTTTGTTTGATCCAATCAAGGTTGCTTTCCACAGCCAAATCTTCTGTGACATCTCCACTAATTAGAAAGTAGGCTGATTGCTTGTTGGCTCAGCGAGTGCTTAATGAAGGCATTCATCACTTTGCACATCCAAGGTGCCCGCAGGACAGCAAATGCTCCCACTGATAAGGCCCAGTCTCCTTCTAGGAAATTAAAGTCTCTGATAAGGATGGGTATTCATAACCCTTTCCAAGTCCTTATGTCCCTAACAAGCCTCTAGAGAAACCTTGCCAGCTTTTCTTTCCTTCTCCTGTGATTAACTCAAACAGGTTTTGTATCCTTTATTTATTTTTGTTATTACAGTTTTTATACAAAATACCCATAACATTTTATATTCTTTCTTTCCTGGATGTATACTTCTGATCTGTTTCACAAGTGATTAATGTTCTGCCACATCCACTATACCAATAATGTCAATTTTTGCATAATGTATAAGTAACAAAATTTCTCTGCCAGAGCTCCTTGCCACAGTACACAAATCTTAGATATTTCTTACTGAAAATGTCAAGGGATTGTTAAACACAGCACTTTGGGACTCTTGCTCACACCTCTGGCAGCACTTTAATTTTCTGTCTCTCCTCCTACTCACCAGTATCACACTATTATCCTTGTTTACCTGATGCATTTTGTTTCTCTCACTGTTCTGTCCTAGCTGTGAAGATGACTGGCTTTTTTTCCTCTCTGGTCTTTTATAGCAGGGTTTGAAGGGAAGTCTTCCTTCATTTGTTTCTAGATATGCTCAGACTAACCTCTTTTGATTGGTTCCATTAAGATGGATTGATGTTTGCTTTGATTTTAATCCGTAGACAAATTGCAAATCACCTCTCCCCCAGCAGGACTTTGTGTAGAAGGGATTACCTTGCATGGACCTGTAGCATCAGCTTTCCAAAACATTTAAATTGGTATGAAATAGTAGCATACTCTTCAGTAGCATGAAGGGAGCTAATAGCCAGGTGTGGTTACAGTGCCCAAGAGCGGCTGTGAGCTCGTGGTTGACAAAACCTGGCCCCTGCCCCATCGCAGCAGAACCGGTCAAACTCTTCACATCTTCCTCTTCACAACCTTGCTGCTGCTGCCATTGGTTTGATGTCTCTTTTGGCACTAATTCCTGCAGAAAGATGGTTAAACTGGGAGTCCTGATGGGAACTGGGAAAAACCCAGAGAAGTCTTGAAACAGCAGCAGAGGGAAGGTTTGGCCTGCTAGAGGATAGTTTGGACTTCAATCCACAGCCCAAAAGAGGAGGGCAGCTCCAAAAACTGTTATTGAGAAACAACATCACAGCGCTGTGAGACAGGTTCAGTTGAAGGAAGGAAATACTTGTGCTAGAAGATGGTTTTGACTTTTATCTTCTCATCAAAACTCAGCAGAAATAACTCAGAAATAATGAGGCCTAGACACCCAATTCGTTATCTTTTCAGGCAAGCTAGACAGGGTCTTTATAGAAGGCATACATAGTTGTGCAGCACTTACATAGAAGAGCTAAGTGAAGTACTCTACACAAAATGTGTCCTCTCTTTGCTAAAAATAAGAAAATACATACCAGTATAGTAATTTTGCCACCTGCAACCAGGTGAAAGACAATGAAAATACTGAAGGAGTGAAAAAACTGGCAGACAATTTCTCGGCAATTTGTGTTAATACATCTCAGAGTACCTGGCTTTATTCTAGGCTCCCAGGAGAAAGTACACCGGAGAAATAACTGCACCATATTTAGCAAACTAAAGTAGTGTAGAGGGGCAGATGAGCTTCCTGTAGGATAAACTTCGCCTTGGGAATGTGGAGCTAGGAAGAAAGGTTTATGCATTCATTCAGTGTGAAATGCTGTGGGTGGTGCAGTCTGTTTTTCCTCCATCCCTAGAAGATAACCAAGCAATGCGTGTTGCAGCTTCAGTCCTGTGATATAACTCCTCATGGGGACCTCTTCTGTGAGGTCCATCTCCTTGTCCTGTAGTGCCTTTGAGAAGTCACAGTCTTACCCCTTCTTGAAGTTGTTTGTGGATTTTGATGACTGATTCCCTGGAGGATTCTATATACAGCAGAGGCACCTTTCAGCAAGTAACTTTCCTCTGTCAGAGGAACAGTAGAAGTTTGCTCTTACATTCATTTTCCTGCGGCAGGGCAGAGGCTGAGCCGCAACTCGAATTAGCCTTCTGTGGCTTAGTGTCTTTTAAGAGTTACTAAAAATAAATTCAAAAAAAACCCCAAACTTTCAGACTTAGCACAGAAAACAACCTGTCCTAGGGGAAGGACAGCTCTGCCCTGGTGTTTGTCTTTACATTTCAAAATGCTTCACAGCCTCTATTAGACTTCTGCAAATTGAATGTAGCTGAAGAAGGTGATTACACTTGCCAGGAACTGGGGTCAGTACCATTTCAGCTGCCTTTTGTACTGTCCTTCTGAGCCTGCAGATGCTGCAAGCAGAGTGTTACTTCAGATTTAACTTGGTCTTTGAGAGATTTCAGCAAATGTTATAGCTTCTATTCTGGGCACCTTGATGCGCTGAAGCAGTAACCTCTTTAGCCAGTTGTATGGGTTAAGGAGCCAGTTTTTACCCAGGAAATATCTTCTACGCGTCCAGGCAATTGTCAGGCTGAGAGTGGGCAAGCTGCTGATAGACAAACAGTTATTTCAGTGTCTTATGCTGCAACTCTGCCTGAAACATTACTGTGCATTTCCCCCCAAGCTGTGCTAAATCTTACTATGTAAACCCTGGGCTGCTCTACCCCACTCCAATAATCCCAGGAACAGGCCTGCTTGGAGGAGGCATTCAGCAAATCAAGGAGGAAGCCGTGTCCTTGGGGAAGAGGGCACCCCACCACCCATCTACCTCTTGGGGGCTGTCACAGGCACCTTCATACTGAGCTGTGGAAAAGAATAAAATGGCCTGTTACAGACACAAATGAAAACAGTTTTGCATTGGGTCTCCAAACGTTTTTTAGCCTGAGAAAGCCTTGGCATCCTTTTAGTGTTCCTTGGGCTCCAATTTACATGCAAGGGGACCTGCCATTTGTGGACAGGCAGAGTCATACCCAGGAGGTCAGAACCCTGTTGCACAACAGGTGGAAGATGAGGCTCCATGTCCCCTAGAATCTCCCGCTTACCCTCCTGATCTGCTTTGTCAATGGTAATAGATTAGCTAGTCCAAATATTCTATCGTTTTCACAGCTTTCATTAGGCTTAGGAAAAGCACCAAAGCAGAATATGAGAAAGGCTACACGGGGACGTAAGCAGGTGAAATTCTTGTCTCTGAGGAAAGTCTGGATTAGATTAGGATTTACAGTTTTCCCTTTGCATAGCTCTGATTGTTGTAGAGTTGGGTGACCCTGCAGCCCTCTTGGTTATTTCTCCCTCTGTTTATGTGTAGATGTGCAACTCCTCAAGCATGTGGTTTCACCCCTGGTGCAGAGTCGTGGTAACACAAGGGCACACTCACATGCAATTTCAGTTCAAGAAGTTCAAGTCAGAGTCCCCACTTATTTCAGATGCAGATGTACAAGGGGGCACAGAGATGCTGGCAGCCCCTGGCCCAGACAAGAGCTCTGAAGAAAAGCACACAGAAAATAGATTTCAGTTACATCATGATTGTTTCACAAATCGACCTTATTTAAAAATTACTCTTTTTTTTTTTTTTCCTTCCATTTTGTAGCTGTAAATGGTTCATGGCTTGTGCTTGTACCCTTGATCTCCTAGTAACAGCTTCAGATCTTACCATAAAATTTATGAAAATGAATTTCATGCTCAGAATGTTCATCCCATGCAACAAGAGACAAGGCTAAAACATCTTTAACATTCCTCTGGCAGAGCACCTACATAAAAAAATGATAAAGAAGTAGTCTAGGCTATATTTGCAGCCAACAGCACTTTCTTTCCCAGAAGTAAAGGCATTTCCATGTGTTCAGACCATGTTCTCCCATTGGGGAGGATGCTTTGAGGTGGATCTATGAGCCCAAGGTCATTTAGGTGCCTACGAAAAACAAGGCTCCTAAAAATGGGCATAAAAGCCGTAGATATCTGTTCAGATGCTTGCTCCATCTGGAAGCTCTCAGCTGTTTATATTAGCTCTGTAATTTAGCATTTTGAGGCATTAACTTTCCACTGAAGCTGTTGTTTGAAAAGAGCAGATTTCATGTAGCTCATAAAGAATTTAGTGCAGTTGTATCCCATGCTGAGCAGACACTTAATCACCTATAGACTTCCTGTGCGAGAGTAGTCCTGCAGAGACTGGCGGAGCTATTCGCACAAGAGAAGTTAATTGCCCATTTGTTCTAGCAATTGCCAAACCAAGGCTTTGATTCTCAAGTGTTTCACTGTGCTTTCCTGCATCAGCTTTAGCCCTGTAAAGTTCACATGTGACAGCTTGCTAGTGGGGAGGCAGCTCGCCCTTATAATTCATCTCATTTGAGCTATCAGGCAGTTGTTAAAATAGCATGGTTTTGGGGATCAGTTTTATAGATCTTAAAGCTGGTTCAGATCAAGTTTGGGGATTTGTTTAAATTATTTATCTCCCTCTTGTGCTCCCACTGAGGCTGACCTGCAGGATAATGGCTGCAGAGGTGAACGTGACCCCTCTGGTGATCCCAGGTCTGTTCCTGTGCCACCCTCTCTCAGACATTGCTTCCACCTCATAAAACTGCACAGATTCTGCCCCTGTACAAGTGGAGCAGCTCCCAGGGCTGGGCAGAAGGATACAGCCGAGCTTGGCAGCATTGCCCAGGAGGGAGCAAGCCATGACCATACAGCCAGGGCATCTGCAACCCCTCCCCCAAATTTATCAGGTCAAAATTCATAGGGTCTGTTAAAAAATGGATAGGAGGAGATGCAGAACCCAGCCAGGTCAGAGCAGGGGTGAGGGGCGTGACTTTGCAAATGATCTCACATCCCTCAGGTGAGAAACTGGGGCAGGTCAGCCCTTTCCCAGAGAGGAACAGCTGGGAGCAGCACTCATTTGCAAGGGCTGGGACTGGGATCCAGGGCTTTTTGTGACATGGATACCAGCTGGCCAGACATGGGCTGAGATCAGTTCAGTTGATGTGGGAAGTAGCAACCACATTAACTGCAATAATTTTCCATTGCTGGGTACCTGCTCCATCTCTGATGTTGGTGTTAGCCTGGAAACTTAAACCTGGGAGTTTATAGTATGACTAAAAATGTTTATTTTCTGTGAAAATAAAGAACTCTTGAGTGCTCTAACAGCTCTACTGGCTCTACCCCCAGCACGGTGAAACCACGGGTCTCCTTCCAGGCTAACAGTTCTGGCTTATTTCTAGATAATCTCATTTGCTGCTACGTGATCGTGGAGCTGGAATCACATTTCTCTGAGGCTGCTTAGTGTAAATTACAGTGTCGATGTAGGTGTTTGGCCAAAAAAAGAATTGCCTCCATCACTCTCTGACTGCGTTTAAGTAGCACCTAAGCTTTTTGTAAGGGCTTGGTGGTTTTGGGTTGCATGTAAATGTCATTAACAACAAGCTTTCAGCCAAAAGAAATAACTCCTCCTCTCTTCTTGCTCACCCGAGGAGCTGTAGGAGACCAGATGGCCCCAGTGTTTGGGAGCAGAGTTTGGCAAAGGAGACATTTTCAAAAGCTGGACTTTGCTAAGATGAAACGTAGCTGTTGCTGCTGTCTTGCAGCCAATTCCGCTGCTTTTTTCTTTTTAAGTGCTGTGTTACTTTATTACCCACTGAACAGACAAGCTGCACAAACCTATGTATGAAAGGAGTGAATATCCCAATCCAAAGAACATGCTTACATTTCAGTGGCCCAAGGCTATTGATTTGGGTTTTTAAAGTGCATCTCAGTGCTACTTACTGCAATGTTATGTTTTCATTTCTAAATCTGTAGGCGTGGGAGGCAGCGAGCTGCTCTCTGAAATCTTGCAATAAAAGCTTGGTATGAGGAGGAGGGAATTTATACTGTGGAAAATGCCCAAGATTTGCTGTGAGAAATGTGTAGTGCTGATCTTTGGCTGAGAAATGTCATTTGGTCGTCTCAGATCCAGGGCAGGGTTATTTGAAGGTCACATGGTCCCCAGCAAGACGTGTTTGTGGGACTGCCGGGCTGCTCCGACTGTGCTTGTCCCTGTACCTCTAGGGGGTTGAGCCATAAGGCACTGGTGGGTGAGGAGGGACGTGCAGCAGGCAGAAGCCCACCCTGTTACCTCTTAATGTATAAACACTGTGCACGTCTCCTTGCCTGGAGCAGCGTCCGAGCTTGCTGGGTCGGGTTTATAGGAGAAGCAGAGGCAGTTGCACAGAAGGGGAGACTTGCCCCTGTTATGGGTGACCTTTGCTGTTCAAGGAGCTCAGCTCCGAGCCCATGGGGAAAATAAGGTGTTTGCAGCTTTCCAGAGGTCCCTGCAGTGCCCGTGGTATAGCTGGGTTTGTGCAGGCATTGCAACAGTCGACCCCAGCGATGAAAAGCAAGCAGAGGGAAGGGAGGTTGTTGGCTGTGGTACTGATAAGGACTCTTTTAAGTTAAGAAAAACCAGAGGTTCAGAACCTGTGTGCACTGCTGAGCAGTGTAGGAGGCACAGGGGCAGTAAGAAAACCAGTGCTGTTCATTGGCAGGTCGAAGAATACATTTGAGCTAGAAACCCAAAAGTTATTTGTGGCTTGGAAGTTGGGTCCTGGTCTAGATACTGAGCAGGAGCATAAATCAGAGCAGTCAGTAAAGGAAGGGAGACGATGAAGAAGTCAAAACAGCTTACAGAAAGCTGGACATGCTAAACCAAATAGAAATGCTTCAAGTATGCCAAAAGCAAGAAGCTTGAGAATGTGTCAGCAGATCTGCCAGCTTACAAGGAACAAGTGAGGAGGCCAAAACTGTGATTGAGGAACACTGCAACTTCAAAGCGGGAGTCACTGTCATTGCAGCTGAAGGTCCTGATCCCACTCTTTTTGTTTAAGGTGACAGAGAGGAGATGCTGTCAAGGGCAGGGCTTGGATAAGAAGTTCAGGTGCAAACTGATGACTTGAAAAGTGTTCAGTGTCAACATCCAGATGGTTCACCCAAGAGTTCTGCAGGAGCTGGTCTGAAAGCTGCAAACAAACATACATGTTTCTGCATTAAAACCAGCTGCTGTTCCAAGGAGCTGGAGGCTTTGCCTGTATTTGAAGAAAAGCCTTAGGATCAGTCTAGACAGTGATGGATAGAAATATGAGGGGGAGATGTTCCTGGCAATTTGATGGGAAAGATAATTAGCAACAGAATGACAAAACACCAGGAGGATGAGAGAAATCAGTAGAGCCCAAGAACACACTCACATTTCTGTGTTGGAGAACGTTGTCTCATTGCTCTGTTAAGAGTTGTCTCATGCCAATGAAGCTGAGGGTAAGGAAGAAGCAGCTGGTATAATGTACACTTCATTCCTGCACAAGGGGCTGTCAAAGAGCTGAACAGAGTGACTCACAGCCTTGGTAAAGAAAGCAAGTGGCTCTAAAAAAGAGCCTGTGACATCTACAAATCAGCCTTGGTAGCAGCAGACCTGTCAGGCTGGGCTGCGTATCCAGCCCTTCCACTTGGGTTAGTGCTGTTGGGGTGATAGTGTCTGCTTCTGAGGTTTGGCTGTGATCTGTGCCTCCCACCAAACCCCATCCACCTGCCCACCTACCATGCTGGGGACACCTCTCACCAGGGGTGGATGTCTCACTGTCACTCTGCTCTCCCCCTGCAGGAAAGTCCCACTTGGCCATTGTACAGCGGGTGAACAACGAAGGGGAAGGAGACCCATTCTACGAGGTGATGGGCATTGTCACCCTGGAAGACGTCATTGAGGAGATCATCAAGTCCGAGATCCTGGATGAGACGGATCTGTACAGTTAGTGTCCCAGAGCAGCTACTGCGGTTGCAGGAGCCAGGGTGGGAGCCGTCACAGACAGACAGACATGTGGGTAGGAAACAGGCCAGAACAATTCATGGTGGGAAACACAAGAATGATGGAGAGATGCTGGTCAGGTGTTAGGGAGTCTTGAATGCTCAAGGTAGAGAAACATCAGTGGCTGATGGCTGGACAGGGCCTGACCCAGGGACATGTATGTTGGGCATGAAATGCCCATGGGTGGTTCCCAAGCTCTTCTGCAACTCCGGGTGATGCATCCAAGCCAGGGCAACCCGGGACTTGTTCCTAAAGGGAGAAGTGTGTTTCATGATCCTGCTCCCTTCCCAGACAGCTGCTCAGGCTATGATGCAGAGCATGTTTTTTGCTGCCCCATCTGCTGTTCCACAGCAGCCCTGCCATAGGGTGCAGCAAGATGTGCCTCTCTATGCATGTGCATGTGACATGGGGCCCTGCAGCTGCAGCAGCTTTGTGGCTGCTGCAGGAGAGTGACTGCTCTGCTCTGCCTGCAGCGGACAATCGGAAGAAGGAGCGGGTTCCCCACCGGGGACGCAAGCCCCAGGATTTCTCCATCTTCAGGCTCTCAGAGAGTGAGATGAAGGTGAAGATCTCCCCACAGCTCCTCCTGGCTACCCATCGGTTCATGGCAACAGGTACGCTTACCTTTGTGCCGGCCCTCCAGCTCCCTGCAGCAGCATCAGCCCTGCAAGGCATCCCTAAGCTATTCCTGGATCAGACCCCCCGCCCCCGCTGAGCAGTTTCCACCTGCCTGGACCCACAATCTGGGCATCCCACCAGCGTGGGTCTGCCTTTGGCTTCCCTCTGGGCATTGGGGTGCTGAGGCTGCAGGAGGGGTCCGTGCAGCTCAGAGGATGAGGGGTTCCTGGCAGCCCTAGACCTGCTGAGCATAGCATGCATGTGTTGCCTCCCCTCTAGAAGTGGAACCTTTCAAGTCCCCCTACCTCTCTGAGAAGATCCTGCTGCGGCTCCTAAAACACCCCAATGTAATCCAGGAGCTCAAGTACGACCGAAAGAACAAGAAGGCAGCAGAGCATTACCTCTACCAGCGCAACCGCCCCGTCGACTACTTTGTCCTCATCCTGCAGGTGCCTGGAGCAGTGGCAAGCAGAGGGTGGCAGGGGGTGGCCCCATTTTCTCATCACCACCTTGTTCTGGGCTGCTTTGGCCAGCAAAGATGCCCATGCTCTTGTATGGGACAGCAGGGGTCCCTGCAGCCCTGGGTAGGACAGTGGCTAGGAGCACGAGGTACCTGTCTTAGAGGGTTTTTCTTCTCCTTGCAGGGGAAAGTGGAGGTGGAGGTTGGCAAGGAAGGACTGCGGTTTGAGAATGGAGCATTCACTTACTATGGTGTCCCTGCCATCATGGCTGTTGTCTCCTCAGGTGAGACCTCTGCGGTCTCCCTTTGGCCCTGCCTTCTCCATGGAGGCAAAGTCAGCTAGGGGAAGGGGCTGGTCATGGGGTGGGGTGGCCCCGCTGCCAGATATGGGACAAGCAGGAGCCCTTCCTCTTCTATTCCCACAGCTCCAACTGTTGTTTCAGATAATGATGTGCGAAAAGTGGGAAGCCTGGCTGGATCTTCCTTCCTACGTAAGTATTTCAGGACAGGCTGGGTCCCTAAAACCTTTCCTCTGAAGCACGGGCTGGCTGGAGGAGGGCTGTTTTTTCACTCCATGCAGAGCAGCTTAGACTCTGTGCTGAGGTCATCCCTTAAAGAGCTTGGCAGAGAAACAACATGTTAAGGGGCTGATGCAGTCCCCACAGAGGGAGTTTGAGGTCCCTTTGAAGTTTCCACCACGTGCTGAATCTCTGCTGTGGATCCCAGCACAGCTGGTGCTGCAAGGGGCACTGCCCAAGGGTGGCAGCATGCTCATGCCAATGGGAGCAGTGAACTCTGCGACTTCTGACGTGGTTCTTCTAAGTCTCAGCATTCCCAAGGCTCAGGGCAGGAGGTGAACATGGGTCCCACACTGGGGGAATGGGAGCTGCTCGGAAACTGTAGAGATAGGTCAGTTTACCTGTGGGCTATTTGCACATAGTGGTGGTAAATTAGCTGAGTTGGTGCCCCACTGCTGAAAAATTCCCTGCCTGAAGAAGCAAATCCTTTGCTTGCATAAGTTAAGAGGGAGCTCTTATTAGGGGAGACTGTGAAGTACTCCCTTCTTGGCTGATCACCCCTGCAAATATTTAGTCCCTGGTGGCTCAGGAACAGGTTGAGGTGCTGCCTACTCCCAGTCCATCACATCCCTCATCCAAACCCCAGATGTTGCAGTCAGATCTGCAGTGCTGATGGTAAGCTGAGATGCTCTTGGTGTCTAATCAAAGCAAGAACCTACTAAGTTCAGCCTTTAGAGAGATGTAAAGAAGAATGTAATTGAGAGAACAGGGGGAGTCCCTTGCAGCAGGTAACTTACTCTGGTGGGTACCAGTCTTTGCACAGCTCTAGGGTTCACCTATTTCCTCCTCCTTGGTTTGTTTCCATTCAAAAGGCTGGCTCGTGGACTGCTGGATTAACCCCTCAGTGCACATTCCTGCTCCCCCGTGTGTCTACAGTGCACTCGGTTTGGACAGAGGAAATCAATGAAGTGGCTGATGTTGCTGGGTGGCCCAATGCCCCCACGTCCTGAGTGATGGTCCTCAGGGCCCCACTGGGACTCATGCAGCCCATGGGCCACAGGCCAGGCAGGGCACAAGCCACAGCAAGAGCTCTGTCAGTGCAGTCATGCATACCTGCAGTGCCGCCTGCCGGGGCACTGCCCAATCCCCGTGCTCGTGCGTGACAATGTCACAAGGTGTTTTTTGCTGTGCAGGCATCCCTGCCTGCCATGGGACATGTGTGGCATCACACCCCTGGCCAGCAAGAAAGCAGGCTGGGAAGCAGAGGTGACAACATTTCCCTTGTCAGGCTGGCATCCTCCTTCCTCCTGGAAGGACAGCCCCGCCGAAATGAGTGTGAGTAGTGTATCACAGCTGAGAATTCTGACATTAACCCTTGAGCATTTAACAGTTATTAATTAACTGTTGTTATGCAACTTTTTTATCGGCAGCTGATCTTTGGCATTGGTGCCCTGTGGTAACAAATGCTGTGGGAGGGTTGGGCAGTGAGAGCAAGCAGTGAGTGCTGGTGGTTATCAACTCGTCCTTTGCTCCCATCTGGACAAGGTTGTTCTGGGCAGTGCTTCATGGTGGTGTCTTTTTTATTTGCAGAAGGTTTTTACTGGGGGAGGATGTGGAACAGGAGTTACTGGGGAGGAGAGGTGAGATCAGAAAATGGGACTGCAGGGTAAATTTCCCAGGGCAATTTAAAAACATTAATCACAGAGGCAGAAGATGGTTCCTAGAATATTGCAGCCGTGCTACAGGCACAGTGGCTGGAGGTAGGGCAGCCAGAGGGCTTGGATCTCCCAGTGCTTTCGAGGCAGGCATTGGCAGAGAGCAAAGATGAGGCACCAGAAAGTGTTAAGGAAGGAGTGCACCACTCAGCCTGTGTGTTGGTCTCTCCGTGCTCCCCAATGGAGCCCTGTACCCTGTGGCATAGCCCAGGGATGCTGTGGAGGGCAGCAATCACAGGGAGGGGGAACAACCTGCCCTTGAAATTGTCACTGCTGCTGTAACCCATAGCAATAAAACATGGAAAGTGAGTGTCTATGACTTACCCTCTTTGTGGCAATGGGTCAGATAGCCCTGGATGCAGGATCCTGGCTTCTTGCAGTTCCTGCAAGGATCAGCCCTCTGTGAGTAGCTCTTCTCAGCATTGCCCCAAGGCTGTTGAGACCCAGGGCCTTGCAGGGAACTGCAGGCAGCCTGACATGAATCCCTTTGCTTTCAAGGGATTCAAGGTGAATCACCCTCTGCCCGCCCCTGCCTACAGTTGTGGGGCTGGGGCAGGGACTGTTGCAGAGCACGTTCCTTCTGTGCCATGTGCCTGCACACACAGAAGCATCCCAGATGCCAAGCACAGTGATTTACCTTTCTCTCATTTCCCAGTAGGCATAAGCTGACCACAAAGTCCCCTGTCCTGGCAGCAGCTGGCAAAGGGCTAGAGCAGGGTGCCAGCACTCAGGCAATTGGAGGAAGATGCTTTCTACCCATGTCAAGACTCTAAGGAGTTGTGTGGCTGTGCAGACAGGCCTGGCAGGAGCTGGTTCCAACCCCCCTAACCTCACCTCCCCTCACTTCATCACAGAGCAACCAGTTGATTTACAGCATTCTAATCTGTGTTCCTGCTGTTGTCCCTGTCCCCAGCACTGCTGAGCACCTCCCCAGAGCAGAAGCAGTAGGGGGTAAGAGGGGAGGGAAGGGATACTGGAGACAGCAGTGGGAGCTCAGCCCAGGACTGCTGGCACTGAATTCTTTTTCTCATTCTTCCTCTTGGTCTGTACCCCACCCTCACCTCCATCCCTCACCTTCCCTGGGGTCTCCTCCTTCCTACCCTGTCCCTCTCTCTGCAGTGCCTGTCTCAGTGTCCCGTACCTTCGCCTTCAGCAGAGGGGACTCCCTGGCTGGCTCTCCAGGTAACAGAGCATGGTTTTGGCCAGGGACCTCTGTATGTGGCAGGCTCTTTACAGCACCCTGTCCTCAGTACCCCAAGCCCCCTCCACCCTGCATGCCAGGCAGTGCCAGGAGAGGAGTACCCCATGCTGAGCAACCCCTCACTGGTTGGAGCATGGGTGGCAACTGGGGACAGGAGTCCTCTCCAGTATGATGCAAATCCCAGAAAGAATGGGATGGGGACAAGGGATAGCCATGGACAGCTTGGCCTTTCTTTGGTGTGCACTTTCTGTAATTTCCTGCGCTTAGCACTTGGGGTTTTGACTTGCTGCTTTTGATGACATTACCTGCAGCCCTGCATGCATGCTGCCCTGCTTCCCTTGCTTTCTGGAAATCTGGGTAATAGAAGGGCATTTTAGAAGCAGAGCAAAGTCAGCACAACATCACCCATGTAAGGAACAAGCTGCCTTTGTTCCCTAATAAATCACTGACTAGACAAAATCTGTCACACTGTGTGTCAGAGGCCATCAATCAACATGAGTGACAGGCTAGCTTGCCATGGCAGCTTCTGCTCCTGATCTGTCAGTCCGGGTGAACAGGAGCATGCCCTCAAGGCAGGTTAAGCAAACACCCATGGGATGCCGGCTGCAACCAGGAAAAGTTGTGCCAAATGCGGTGCAGAAGGTCAGCATTAGCAAGAGAGCTGTCAGTGACTGGCAGCCCTAACCTCTGCTGCCAGTGCCAGGTCGGATGCCTGCCTGGTCCCTTGGTTTGTGAGGCTGGCATGGCACAGTCTCCACCACCAGCATGCACCGAGGAGGACCCTGCCACAGGGCCCCTGCCAGCCGTGATGTCCTGGGGAATAGCCACTGGAGGTGACCGGTCCACCTTGGCCCTGCACCGGCACTGGGAACCCAAGCAACACCACGAGTGAGAGTGAGTGTTTGCCTCTCTGCTGTGCCCTCCTGTAGTGAACAGGTCCCCGTCACGGTGCAGCGGGCTCAACCGCTCCGAGTCCCCCAACCGGGAAGACTATGGGGGCAGCAGCACACAACTCCACAGCAGCAGCAACAACATCTACACACCCGACTACTCCGTGCACATCCTCTGCGATGTGCAGTTTGTCAAGGTACGGGCTGGGCTGGCTGGGACTGCACCACCCTGCACACGCCTGCCCAGGCACCCTCTTGCCCCACGCTGCCCCAGGAGCCCAGTGGGTGCTGGGGGTCCCACACTCCCGTTTTCCGGAGGTTTGGTGTTGCCAAGTCTCCGGGAGGTCCTGGTGGGGCTTGGTGCCCACTGAGCTGGCGCACGTGTCTGTGTGCCCAGGTGACTCGGCAGCAGTACCACAATGCACTGGTGGCCAGCCGCATGGACAGCTCACCCCAGTCCCCTGACATGGAGGCCTTCGACAGGGATTCAACCAAGGCCTCGACCGCACGGGGAACCCCACAGACACCCAAGGAGGATCCCACCATCCTCTTGAACGAGAGAAACAATGTCATGTGTGAGTCAGCAGCATTCCTTCCCTGGCACAGGCCAATGCTGCATGTCCCCTGGGGGTTTGTGCTGGGACCCTCTGGCATGATGCACACACCACCTCTGAGATGCAGTTGCACATGAAGTGGGGCACATGGGCGTTTGCACGCACACGCCTGTGAACGCTGTTTTGTGCCTGCACATGCACGCAGGTGCTGATGTGCAGACGTAATTCCTCGTTGCCACACGTGTCCCCTGGGGTAGCGGAACCTGCTGCCATGGCTGGCATCCTGCCTGCCATGTCCTGCCCCAGGGCACACCACTTCTCTGCCCTGCCATCACACCTGCCCTGTGTCCCTGCAGGCAGCCACTCCGAGGGGCTGCACAGTCCCAGCGATTCGGTGTTCCTGCGCATGGAGGGCATCCCCTTCATTCAGGAGGAGCTGGCTGACAACGAGGAGAACATCAAGCGGCAGAGTGAGTCTGGCTGGAGTGCATAAGGGGGGTGGCGATGGCTGTGGTGCCCTGAGGCGCTGCAGCCATGCTGGGCTTTTGCAGACAGTGAGTGCTGCGAGACCGTCCAGGAAGCAGAGTCCCCAGGCAGAGAGGTCGGGACCAGCTCATCCCCGAGCAGCTCTGAGGAGACGCTGGGCAAGAGGCTGCTGAGATCTCTCAGTGAGTGACTGACCTGGGGAGGGACCACCCAGGGGAGAGCTGTGCCCCAGCACCCTGCTACCCATGTCAACTGCTCCCCAGCCCTGTCCTTGGGGCACCCTGCTGGGGGCTGGCATGAAACAGCCCAGTTCCCTATCAGTGCCCCAGCAGCAAGGCAAAACTGCTCCTAGGGCTAGCTCAGGCAGAGCTGGCCACCCGGTGCTGGCCCAACCCTATGCACTCCCTGTCCTGAGCACCCTTGCTGCTGCAGGTGGGCGCAAGCAGCGGACATCATCGGAGGGTGAGAAGACACCAGAGGAAAGCTCCAATCTTGCCCCATTAATTACCTGAGCAGCAATGTGACTGGAGCACAGTGCTGGAGGCCCATGCAGACTGGAGGTAGGAACCTGCTTCTTGGTACAACATTCCTTCCCCAGCAAATGGGAGGTCCCTCAATTTAAATAGCATAAAATCAGTTTTCAAGCAGCAAAGCCCCATGATGTGGTTTGGAGCTCATGTAGGCACGCATGTTGTGGGGGGCTAAAGTAGGGTCAAGGGATGTAGTAGCAGACTGGGTGTCAGAGACTGAGTGAGACCTCGACTCCTGTTTTTACTAGAAACGTGTGTCTGTACCAATATCTCTGAGCCTGGCTAGGAAAGGTGTTGCAAATTTAAGCAGCAGCAGGTCATGGACAGCAAGCTCTGGCCACCTGCACCAGTTTGTGCTTGTGTCTTCCAGGTCTGCAGCATGGGGGTCTCCTGCCATGAGGCTCATGTCCAACAGCAGGAGGTCTGCACTTGCTCGCTGCCTGCCCACCCACTAGTGCCGCCCCTCCCTGCAGGACTTGTGCAGAGCCCCATCCCCAGGAGAGAAAGGATGTGCCCCTGGCAGGGCTGAACCACCCAGGCAGCCTGGACCGGTTGCTGGAGTCCAAGGGCCCTTGCCCAGCTGCTCTCTGGTAGCATCTGGTCTCAAGGAAGAGGTGGAAAAAGGAAAGGTGGAGAAGTGTTGGTCATGGTGTCCCTGCAGGCAGAGCAGGGAGGGGCGGCCCAACCCAGAACTGCCCTTAGCATCATTTACCATCCCCATCCTAGCAAGGCCTGGAGCCCCTCGGTGCTGCACAGATGTGGTCTCCACCATGAGGAGGATGCGCTATTTGTGGGGTGCCACCTGGAGCTCAGGGCCCCAACACGTTTGTGCCGTGCCTGGTGACACGCACGCTTGCAGCGCCTTGCTCACGCTGACCATCGACTCTGCCCCGCACTCCCGAGCCCCTGCTAGGCACAGGGCAGGGAGCCCCACTCACCCCTGGGGAGGGGCTGCTCCGTGCTACATTGGACCATCCTCCTCTCCACACATGCCCACCTGCGTGAGGGGGGCTCGCACCAAACCTTCGGGTTGGTACAGACCAGTCAGTAGTTTTTGTAGAGGCTGAACGCAACGGGGATATTAAAAGTGATTTTTCCCTGAGCAATGTCCTCTCTGTGTCAATGGGTGTAGGGAAAAACATGCTAACCCCTCCCACCAGGCCAGGCTGCCCTCATACCCAGGGCCAGGGGTGGCTGGAGTAACCAGACTCAGCATTACTGAAGGGAACAAGCAGAGGAACAGGTCAGCAAGTGCTTCCCAATTTCTCTCCACAAACCTTGGCTCTCTGTCACTCCTGCTGTCAGGAAAGCAACTTGACATGCAGAGTTATACCACAGCAGTACAGACAAGGGGACTGAGGAAGAATAGGAGTTAGCATCATGCCATTGCAAACACAATAGTGGGATACACATGCTGGAGTACAGCCTGACAGACAACAACAGAAATCTCATAGTCCACTCATGCTGATAAAACTTCAGGTAGAATAACTGCAACTCTGTCTGGGCACTTATAAGGAAACACACACAACAAGTGAAGGGTGGACAGAGGAAAGCAAGGGCTGGAAAACAACCTACCCAAAAAGCTGAAGGAAACAGAGTCACTTAACCTAAATGGTGAAAGATGAGAAGGAGAGAGGAAGTTTTCAAATACCCAAAAAGCTGCTGTAAAGAGGAAAGGAATAATCTGTTCTCTGTTGCCATGGTAAATGGCATAATGGGTAATGAGCTTACACCACAGAAGAGGAGAAATTTAGGTCACTTGCTAGGAAAAACAAGGTTGGTAAGGCTAGCAAAGCACTGATACAAATCACATGTGGGGCCAGATGTGGGCCAGGTTCCACATCTGGAGGTCTGTAAGGACAGAATTGTAAGCAGATTTCAGAAATAACAAAAGCAGAATTGATTCCATAACTCCTTCTCTTGAGATCACCCCTGAAAGTCATCCTTTAACTGCTGCCCTGTCATCCCTTTTGCGGGTGGGCACCAAGAAGAGAAAAAGCTCCCCACCTGCAGAGAAAAAAGGCTACCTCTGGCTCACTCTTTTATGTGGCATGACATAATCTAAAAAGGACAAACAAGACTCCATGTACTGTCTACGTGCAAACACAGCAAAGGAATAAGGCACCATTTTGCCTTTTGTGCCTGAGCTGCAGCACAAGCGGACCCATCAAGGCAACAGTAACTATTGCTAGCTGACCTAAGGAAAACAGCTGTTCCCCTTTCTCCACCAAGATCTTATCAGGAGGCTGCTCTGTCAAGGTGGTAGTATCAGCTCACAAATAGATCTGCAGTGACTGCAGAGAGCAGGAGCAGATGGTCCCATCACTTTTTCAGTGCCAGAAACACAGGCTGTTGCTGGCAGGCCCCACTGAAGCCAGGAGCAGTAGGTGGTGGTTCACCATGGGCCTGCTGAAAAGAACGAACAGGAAAGATCCACTTTTTGACACCCTAGGGGCAGACCAGAAGCTCTGGGTCAGGGAGAGATGGCCACATGGCTGGGAAACACATGACCATCCAGAAAGCAAGCATATACAGACAGGATGAGCTGGACAGCACAGGGCAGGGGGGCAGAAAGAGGAACATAGGATGGACATGGGAGGAACTGGTCAGCTTCATGTAGAATCACAGGGAGCTCTCAGCAACACTCTGACAATAAGACTCCCCCTTCAGTAGCAGCTGAAATCATTAGAGATGCAACACCCTGAGGCAGAAAGCAAAAGCCTTAAAACAGAGTAAGAACCAGTGGACAAAGCAGAATGCTGAGGCTTTAACCTCAGCCCGGAAAGAGGTGTGTACAGCCGGAAGGCATGGCATCACACAACGCAGGGGTAATATACAGAGACGGAGGTTTAATTTTCTGTCAGCAACACAAAGAAGCAATTATCACAATTACAAATGTTTGCTCGTATAAGGCTCAGAAATTGGGAAGGGATGGGGTGAAGGGAGGAAGCTAGCAACAGCTTTGCCCCTCCCCAAAATACTACTGAATGACATTAGTTCCCAAGCCGTATGAGATCCCAGCCATGGGGCTGTCATCCCACAGCGCATTGCACTGGCACCAGACTTCACCTAGATCAAACTGATCAGTTACGTGCAGTTGATTTGGATGTGCTAAAGATGCAGCTCTAAGCACCTGAAGACTAGGCTGCTGAAAGTGAAACAAGAGCTGAGGTGGCTCATGCTACCCCCAGCCTCCCAGGGGCATTGGCTTACCATACTGCATGGGGTACTTGAAAAAAGTCAGAAGATGATTATCCCTGATTGAGCTACCTATCGCTCCCATCTTTATTAAACCCCAAGAGGTGTGGGACAAGGCAAGCCATGAGAAGAAAAAGACATGGACTACACACTATAGCTTTGGTGACTTCATGTAAGTTTGGTTGTTCATGAGCTTCATTGGATTTTTGTGACGGCTTCATGGATAGACTTGGCCACATAGTCCAGGTTCTTGGTAGTCAGGCCACACATGTTGATGCGCCCACTAGCCATCAGGTAGATGTGTTTTTCCTTGACCATGTACTCCACCTGCTTAGCTGGGGAAACAATTGGACATCAGGTCAGAGCAGCGACTCATAGCTCAGGAAAGCCCAAAGAACCAGCCAGCAATGCTTGAATCTTTCACAGCAAGCAGAAAACTTCAATCACTGGCCACTAAAATGCTGTCTGATGCTTCATCCCTCCCTAGCCACAGAGGCAGTGATGCCAAAACTCCAGTGAGGCCCCCAAGAGATTCCTGCTTGGACCGCTTCAGCCCAGCTCACCCACAGCAAAACTGTCTTCACCCAAACCTCCCTTCACCAGGCCACTTGATACTTACGGTTCAACCCTGTGAAGCTAAACATGCCAATCTGCTCTGTGATGTGGTTCCAGGTTCCAGGGGTTCCAAGGGCCTCCAGCCGAGACCGGAGCTCTGACCGCATCAGCAAGACCCGATCTGCCATTGTCTTCACGTTGCCCTTCCTGCAGCAGCCAGGAAGCAGAGTGTAAGGATAGGCTCCCACCTATTTTGATGCCACATGACCAACTCTGGCACTCAGGGAGACAGCTTCCCTCCCTCTCCCACTGGCTCTGGCAACACGTACCACTCATCAAAGAGCTGTGGGGAAGAAAGCGTAGTTGCCACAATGCGCGCTCCCTGGGAGGGAGGGTTGGACCAAGTGGTGCGCACAATCTTCTCCATCTGGGAAAGCACACGCTGCACGTTGTCTGCATCCTTCCCCACCACAGTCAGGTTCCCCACACGTTCATCTGTGGACAAGCCAAGAATTGTGAGCCATTGGTTCCACACATTGTGGCAAAGCAGAGCATTCCCCACCCTTCAGCATGCCAGCCCCATCTGTCTGGGTATAATGCTACTGGGCCAGCTTATTGCCAGACACTCACTGTAGAGCCCAAAGTTCTTGGAAAACGACTGTGCACAGAAGAGCTCAAAGCCCTCGGAGACAAAGAATCGCACAGCCCAGGCATCCTTGTCCAGGCTGCCAGAGGCAAACCCTTGGTACGCCGAGTCGAAGAACGGAAACAGGCTCCGGCGCTGCAAGGAGGAACAGCATTAGAGGGAAATCCCCTCCCCACAACCTGCACTTTTTCCCCTACAGTACCCATAGGAAAGAAAAATGACCATTGAGTTTTTGTGTGAATACAAAGGAAATGTCATCCAGCAACACCAGACTAAATAGTTTCTTTCAATCAGGGTAAAAGAATAGGAAGTGGTCAATAAAAGTCAATGCAGGAGAAAATTGCATTTGAGGACACAGGCAAAAGAGATGCACCACCGTATATGATACTATTTAGCACCTGCCCACGGATATCCTTTCCAGCAGAAGAAACATCACTACAGCCACAGAATTTGAAGGCATGAGAAGGACTGGGATGCATCTATCCTCTGAACACAAATGACCAGCATCCTGTCAGCCTCTCCTTTCAACATGTGCCCTGTGGAACTCCTCCAGCTCCTGACATGCCTCCCCAGAGCCCACTTCAGATGCAAGTGCGCTGGCTGGCTCAAAAGCTATTTGTCCCCTCAGCACTGCTTTAGCCCCAGCAGCAGCCCATACCTTCATAACAGCAGCAATCTGCTTCCACTGCTCAGGAGAAGGGTCTGTGCCTGTTGGGTTGTGCGCACAGGCATGGAGGATGAAAATGGAAGACTCTGGGGCGTTCTGAGGAGAGAACATGTCTTGGTCACATACAAACATAGATGGGACCGGGCACCCTCAGCAGAGAGAGAAGTCTGGAGCTGCTCTGGGCATCAACAGTCTCTTTTGCAGAGATCCACTTCCAGGTACAGCACACAAGGGCCCAGACAGCTGTGGATACTTTAAAGCACCAAGTTCAGCCCATCCCATGCTAGTCTTACTCACCTCCATGTCATTCAGCAGCCCCTGGAGATCCAGACCTCTTTTGGCAGCATCCCAGTAGTGGTAGGTTCTAATATCTTTGAAACCAGCATCCATAAACACAGAGTTGTGGTTCTCTGAGGAAAGAGATAACTTTTCAGAAAAGCAGGCACCACCTCCAGCAAGCTGCCTTCTCCATCCCAGTGTCTCCCTTTACCCACAAGAGCAGGCTTCTCTCTCACTGGCCTCTGCCAGGAGCAGAGATGTGCCTCCCTCGCCTGCTAACCCCCAGGGCTCCCTGGCAACAGCACTCACCCCAGGACGGAGCGGAGACATAGACTGGGGTCGCTGTGTTGTTGTTTCCATTGTACCACCGCCTCAGGAACTCTGCGCCGATCCTCAGCGCGCCTGTCCCGCCCAAGGACTGAACGCTTCCGACCTGCAACAGAGAGACTTGCCAGCAGAGTCCACCCAGGTCAACATTGCTATCAGTGCACAGAGAGCAAAGACACTTGCAAGAGCAAGACAGGATGCCAGACGTGCTCCCTGGGGTCACCCCAGCCAGGACACCATCCCCTTCCAGTGGTCTTCAGCCTCCTTCAATGCTCAGGCCCATCCTTCTACAGTTATAAATAGACTTCAGTTATTCCCATTACGTTTTGGCACAGAGCAGATTTCCAGTTAGTAGTTTATTTCAGGAAAGGTAGTATATTATCTGACTTTGGTTTCCCCTTGGAAAATTGTTAAAATATGAAGGAAAAAG